ACCAGGACGGGGCAGGGTGACAAGCAGGTGACGCATGGGGATCCCCTGCCTGCCTCGAGCCGGCCTGTGCCCGCGGTGCCCCCCCGACCCTCCGCGGGAGGGGGGAGCACAGGGCCTACTGCCGGCACCCCCCTGAGCCCCACTGGGCAGGCGTCCCCCGAGGCTCGGGAACGGGGACCGCTTGCCTCGGCTCACCACGAAAACTGGCCATCCGCCTGTGAGTCGTCCCGTGCCCGCCCCCACCGGCCGCTCGGCCTCCGTGTCGGGCCCTCTGGGGACTGTCATCTTCCGTCTGACAAGCAGTCACCGGGTCCTGCGGGAGCCGAAGCCAGGCTCTGCGCGTCTGGCGTGGCCCAGCGTGGCCGTGGGATGCTAAGTGCTCACGATTTCACGTGACGCTGGCCTTCCCGAGAAAAACGCTCTGGTTTTTGCGGCGGGCAGGGTCACGGCCCCCCAGGATGTCCAGGTCCAGATGTCCGGACCCTATGAACCTGCTACGTGTCGTGGCGGGGAAACTGAGGCTGCAGGTGCGACTGAGGCTCTGCTTGTTAGACGAGGGGGTGATGACCCTGGGTTCCTGGGGGCCCAGCGTCCTCACAGGTCCTCACAAGAGGGAGGCAGAGAGACGGGGCGGACCCCGTGCTGCTGGCTGTGAGGGTGGAGGAGGGGCCGACGGCCAAGGATGCGGTGCCTCCAGAAGCCGGAAGAGGGGGGAGACGGGGCCCCGGGGGAAGCCGGCCCTGCTGGCTCATTTTACAGGTTTGGGCTCCAGGACTAATGAATCTCAGTTGTTTTAAGCCACTAAGTTTTGTCACGAGGGGTCACAGCTCCGGGACTCCCCGGAGAGGGTGCTGGCTGGAGGAAACTGCCCTCCTTCCTAGCTCCATCTGGGAGGGGAAATCGAGACAGGGATGTTCAGCGTCCCTGCCCCGGGCCCACGTGTGCTACCTGGACCTGTGTCCTGTGTTTTGGGGGACCCCACGGACACCCTCTGAGGGGCCCCTCCTCGGTTTCCAGCCACCAACAGGCCGGGTCCTCTTTAGCTGGGCCTAGGCTGCCCCAGGAAGGAGGACCCCTCAGCCACGCCCCTGGAATAAGACGGGATTCAGGAAATCGTGGGCCTTGAACCCGGTTCAAGGGGAAGGGAGGCTCTGAGGGAGGGTCCCGTGGCCCAGCACCCTCGCCTCCCGGCTCCTTTTTTTAAAAAACAAAAATTTTTTTTTAATGTTTATTTATTTTTGAGACAGAGAGAG